CAGTCTCTGTTGCATGTTTCTCCTCTAAGACCTCCTAATGGTGGGATGCCCTAGGGACAGTGATGTGCTGAGGCTGACCCAAGCCGAGAGAGCCAGCTGTTACCTTTTAAGGAAATTTGCTAGCCAGTTGTTACACAGTTGGCAGCTTACAATTGGCTACAGTAAAGGTATTTATACCATAGAAATTGGCAAAGGCAGCTGGGCGAGGTGGCTCACTCCTGTAATCCTAGCACTTTGGGAGGCTGAGGTGGGCGGATTGCTTGAGCTCAGGAGTTTGAGACCAGCCTGAGCAAGAGACCCCGTCTCTACTAAAAATGGAAAAAATTAGCTGGGCATGGCAGCACATGCCTACAGTCCCAGCTACTGGGGAGGCTGAGGATCACTTTAGCACAGGAGTATGAGGTTGCTGTGAGCTAGGCTGATGCTATGGCACTCTAGCCCAAGCAACAGAGTGAGACTGTGACTCAAAAAAATAAAATAATAATTAAAAGAAAAAGAAATTGGCAAAGGCTAGAAATCATGGCTTTCCTCTCACCAGTTGTTAAATATTGATCTGTTTTATTGACTACTGGGTCCTCAAACCACTTTTCTGATGATATTCACCGTCTTGGTGATCTCATCCAGTTGCATGGCTTTAAACACCATCTCAGGCCAGGCGTGGTGGCTCACGCCTGTAATCCTAGCACTCTGGGAGGCTGAGGTGGGAGGATCATTTGAGCTCAGGAGTTTGAGCCCAGCCTGAGCAAGAACGAGACCCCCATCTTTACTAAAAATAGAAAGAAATTAATTGGTCAACTAAAAATATATAGAAAAAATTAGCTGGGCATGGTGGCACATGCCTGTAGTTTCAGCTACCTGGGTGGCTGAGGCAGCAGGATTGCTTGAGCCCAGGAGTTTGAGGTTGCTGTGAGCTAGGCTGATGCCACGGCACTCACTCTAGCCCGGGCACAGAGTGAGACTCTGTCTCAAAAAAACAAAAAAAAGAAACAAACCACACACACAAAAAAACACCATCTCATTCTTCAAGAAATAAATTGAAAGGGGAAAGAAAAGAGAAGAGGAACCTATATATTTTAAAAGATGTACAAACTAACTGCAAGAATAGACCTTTTTTGAATCCAGATGCAAGTAAACTAACAGTAAAATGGCAAAATTATGAAATAATATAAACAATGACTAGATAGTTGATGATATTGAGGAATTACTATTGTTTGTTTTCAGATGTGATCATGGTATTATTGTCTTGTTTCACAGGAGTCCTTCCCTTTTAGAGAATACTGAAATATTTATGAATAAAATTATATAAATATAAAAACATTATTTAAAATCTGGAATTTGCTTCCAAATAATTTGGAGAGTCAGAGGGGAAACTACCAGGGGATTCAAAGGAAACATGATTGGCATGAGTAGATAATTATTGAAGCCAGATGATGGGTGCATGGACACTTAATATACTAATATTTCTATTTTTAAATATATTTGAAATTTTTCATTATAGAAAGTTTTTAAAATGCCATTTGAAATTCAGCAACCCCACTACTGGGTATTTTTTTTTTTTTTGAGACAAAGGTCTCACTTTGTTGCCCAGGCTAGAGTGAGTGCTGTGGTGTCAGCCTAGCTCACAGCAACCTCAGACTCCTGGGCTCAAGCAATCTTGCTGCCTCAGCCTCCCGAGTACCTGGGACTACAGGCATGCGCCACCATGCCCAGCTAATTTTTTCTATATATATCAGTTGGCCAATTAATTTCTTTCTATTTATAGTAGAGACGGGGGTCTCACTCTTGCTCAGGCTGGTTTCAAACTCCTGACCTTGAGCAACCCGCCCCGCCTCCGCCTCCCAGAGTGCTAGGATTACAGGCGTGAGCCACCACGCCCAGCCACTACTGGGTATTTATCCAAAAGAAAGCAAATCAGTATATCAAAAGGATACCTGCACTCCCATGTTCATTGTAGCACCATTCACAATAGTATTCAGCCACAAAAATATCTGTGGCAATGTGGATGAAACTGGAGGATATTTTGTTAAGTGAAATGAGCCAGGCAAAGAAAGGCAAATATCACATGATCTCACTTGTATATAGACTCTGAAGAAATTGATCTCATAGAAGTAGAGAATGGAATAACCGTTACCAGAGGCTGGGGAAGGTGGGGGATAGGCTGGGATAAAGAGAGATTGGTGAAGGGGTCCAAAGTTACTGTTAGATAGTTCTAGTGTTCTATTTATTACAGGGCAGAATGACTCCGGTTATTAACAATACTGCATTGTATACTTCAAAATAGCTAGAAGAGAGAATTTTGAATGTTTTCCCCACAAAGAAATGATAACTATATGAGGGGATGGATATGCTAAATACCCTGATTTGATTTTTCAATACATGTATACATGCATTGAAACACTACACTGTATCCCATAAATATGCACAATTATTATGTGTCAATTAAAAATAAGATTTTAGGCCAGTGTAATGTCTTATGCCTGTAATCCCAGCACTTTGGAAGGCTGAGTCAGGAGGACTGCTTAAGGGTAGGAGTTGGAGACCCGCCTGGGCAATGTAGTGAGATCCCATCTCAAAAAAAAAAAAAGGCAGACTAATATTTCATTTTATTATTGTTTTTAAATCCACTATAGATAACATACCCATTTCTTATCTATACCCTGGTGTGAATCACTTCCACTCTCCTGCCCCAATAGGCTTTCTCCCATGAGTTAATTTAATCTTTACAACAATCCCATAAAATAGTACTATCAACATCCCACTTTCACTGATGGGGTGACTGAGGTTCAGAGAAGTCAAATTAGGCTTCTAATTAAGATACTAAGTGACAAAAATGGGATTTAAACCCAGGCAATCTAGTACCTCTGTATATCCTCTTAACCACTACCCAGTGCCATTTCTGAAGGACAATGTAAAAAATACATGTATCTTAACCACTTAACTTTATTAGCTCTTAATCTTTTCCCACAGTTGAAGCTCCTATACATCCTTTCTCCATGGCATTCCCTATGCTCCTAACCCAGATGTAACTCCCAATCTGATTTTGGTGTTTATCATCTCTGTGAAATTTTTTACACTTTTTCTAAATATGTATATATCCTTAAACAACATTTAGTATTTCTTGTATGTTTTCAAACTTTGTTTAAATGATATCATAGAATGACAGTCTACAACTTGATTCAAGTCTACAACTTGACTCAATGCTTTTACATTTATTCATGTTAATATTCATTTGTTAATTTTTAATTTTTTCATCAAAAAAGAAAGGCATATTCATGTTAATATTAATACACGTGTTGGAGTTCATTTATTTTAAAAATTTATTTAAATTTAAATAAATGAATTCCAACACGTGTATTAATATTAACATGAATATGTCTTTCTTTTATTTATTGATTGATTGATTGATTTTGATTTAGTTCTTTTACATTTATTTTAATAAATGAACTCCAACACATGTATTAATATTAACATGCCTGGGCTAGAGTAGCATGGCATCAGCCTAGCTCATGGCAACCTCAAACTCCTAGGCTAAAGAGATCCTTCTGCCTCAGCCTCCAAGGTAGCTAGGAGTACAGGCATGAGCCACTGTGCCCAGCCACTGCATAGCATTTAAATCATTCCCTTGCAGGAAGATAGCAGAGTTTATCCCATTCTCCTGTTAATGTTTAGATAAGATGTTTCAACTTTTTGCTCTTCTGTATAGACTTCTTGTCACGATTTTCATTTCAGCTGATGTTTAAAAATTGGGATACTTCAAATTTTAAAATCCAGATTTATGATTATGACTTCTTTTGAAAAGTCAAACGACACAGAAAATTCCCACATGGCACCCACATACTGAAATAAAATTGCAGCCGTCCATTTAGATAGCGCACACTCCAGTTTGCCACAATTTCCACTTCCCTGTTGCTCCAATGGTGCTGAGAGCTAATGTCAATTGCCATTTAGAAAAATGCTTACACCGTGATTTTTTTTCAGACCACATATACACGTATTTCTTCACATCTGTTTCTGTAAAATCAAATGAAAACAAAAAACAGACCAAGACGACTGTCTCCTTCAAGAAACGAGAGGGGCCATATTTGGGGTGGCTGGGTGGGTGGGAGCTGACAGTGGAGAATATTTCAACTCTGTTTAATTGAAACACATAAACTGCCTCATTCAATTACGTCCCTCCCTGGCCCTTGTATACATTTGAGATCCAAAATATTAACATTTAATTATTGTGTATTCAAGGGATTTTAAGTCAGAACGTCTGATTCCAAGCCAACCATTCAACAACGTGAGCACAAAATTTAAACAGGCAGCTTTAGTTTCTTACCCTGTGAAAAGGGAACGACAAAAACTTCAATTTTATGGAGCAAACTTTTTTTAAGTTTATGGAGTAAAATTTTTTTTTTTTTTTCAAGACAATTTTTCCATGGAGAGTAAAATTTTTTTAAGATGTTAATTGTGCCAGGCAAATGCTGGTTAATATGGGTATCAACTCATTCTTGGACCTAGCCTTTATTCATATTGACCTAGCGAGTCGTTTCACATGGCAAAATATACCCTTTGCAGCAATGAGTGTACCCAGGCCTCTCTCAAGAACACAGAACACATGAGGAGGGGGCGTGGCCCTTTCAGCCTGGTGCGCATGCGCGACTGTAAAAGCAATTAGGTCTGCCCCTGCCACCTAATTAGAATATTTCCGATGTCCGGGAGTTTTTCATCACCCTACTACGTTTACTTTTACTTATGGTAAAGGCCCGTACATTTTTATTACTTTCTGAGAGGCACAAAAATTCCTCTCAAGATTCATCCCTATTGACCACGTAGTCTTACTGAGGTGACTTTTGTCTCATTGGAAGCCCTCAGTAAAGTTTTCAGTTTAGGATATAAGTTTTCAGTTTAGGCGTAATTTTGTGTAAACACAACAAATCATTCCACCTAAGAGAGACTATGGGGAAAGTAGGAAACTGAAGTTTCTTTTTATTCAGGCATTTCAGTAGTTACCTCTTTTTAGGGGCGGTGCCGCGTGTGGACCCGATGGACCCCGGCAATGCCGCCATTTTGGAGCCTTCCCTCAGGAGCCTGTACAGGGTTTCCGAGCTGGTACTGTTGCTGCCGCTGTCGGCGGCCTTGCCGGGCAGGATGAATGTGATAGACCACGTGCGGGACATGGCGGCCGCGGGGCTGCACTCCAACGTGCGGCTCCTCAGCAGCTTGTTACTTACAATGAGTAATAATAACCCGTGAGTTGAGGCGGGGAGCGGCCTGGGACTGAGGAGAAAGCGGCGGCGGTGTGGGAGTCAGGGCTGAGGGCGTGAGGGAACAGGCGGGAAGGAGCGGCCGCGGGCCCCAGCTGAGGCTCCGGGGTCAGCGAGAGCCTAGTCCAGCGGAGCCGACTGCGGAGCGCGAGTTCACTGGGTGCCGGCGTTGTGCGTCGCCGGGATGATCTCCCTGCGGGGGATTGAGCGGCAGCTTCGAGAAATAGAAGGCGGAGGCTTTGAGGACGACCCTCGCTAGGGTTTCCTGAGGCACCTGTCATGGGGCAGAGCGACTGTCATATCGCTGGGCTGAATCCTCCCGTCTCAGCTCCTTCCCAGAGGACGTTTTCTCGCTCGCTGCAGCTCAGAGAGACCCAGTCCCCTGGTTTTTATATTAATCCCTTCGCCCCATATTGAAGATTTTTTTTCTTCTTATGTGTATCAGGAGGGTCCACTTTCTCACCTCGATAAACCCTTGAAAACAGGAGGCTTCCTTGCTGGGTGGGAGTGGCATGGCGCCTTTCTTGTTTCCAGAGCTGCCAATTATTGAGTCTTATAACACATGGAGCACAGGGCTGATTCCAGCTTTTAATGCACGTCTCTTCCCTGCTTAAAATCCTCCACTGCAATTAAATTCTTTCCCATGGCTTGCAGAGCGAGCAGTCATCTGCCTCCTTCTCTCTCCGACTTCTTCCTGTTACTGTTCACCGTACTCCAGCCTCTCTGGCTGTTGTTTCCGTTACTTGAACGCACCAAGCTTGTTCTCAGCTCTGGGCCTTTGCACTTGCTGTTCCCGCTTGGGGTCTTTATTTCAGAGCTATCTCCTTGTTCAGGTTTCAGCTCATATGTCCCTCCTGGGGAGCCCTTCTCTGACCACCAGAATTATCTGATAGTCTCACTTTTTACCTATTGGCCTGCTTTGTTTCTGTAATCACTCTTACCACCTATTGAGGTCAGCACAGTGGCTGTGTGGAGTAAGCACACACATGCTTATTGAATGTGCTAAGAAAGTGAGTACAGTCTCAAGGAGGTAAAACACCTTGTCCAAGTTCACACCTCTATAAATGATATCTGGACCTTGATCCTCTCTAGCCCCAGAGTCTCCATTCTGAGCCACCATTGTCTGCCACCACCAAATGGCATTTTAATGGGATCTTCAGTATGTGGACCCATTAGCATTTGGTCTGCTCTAGAAGCTAGCCTAGGTCAGAAAGGAAAGGCCCCTTTTAAGTGCCTCCAGCTGCTGCTCCACATTTCATTTCCATTAGTGTCCTTTGGACCTCACTAGTGAGACTCATCATTTTGCTACCATCCACTTAGTGCTGATAGTGAGGAGTTCTGGTCTCTGTCAGCCTTCTGTGTTTATTCTGGAGCCTTTCACTTGGTTCTTTGTCAGAGCATACAGTTTCCACCTTTGGGGATTTATGTACCAGTTAGTCATTACTCTTGTTCTCAAAGATGTTACAGGATACTTTGAAGCAGTTTAATCCCCTGGCTAGACTTAATTTAATTAGCACATGCTTTTCATAGTAGACTGGCAGTTTCTTAGGAGGTGTTTTGAATTCTGACCTTCATCGTTTGTATTTTAAATTTTCTTGTTGAATAAGCAGTACATACACTGTTAAAAAAAAGTTCAAACTGTAGAGAACGGATGCGCAGATCAGTGTCTATCCCTGAGTCTTGAACCGTACCTCCACTATTTCCCTTCTCCAGAGGCAACACCTGTAAATTTTGTGTGTGTCATTCCAGAGAGAATTTATGCATGCATAAGTAGGCATGTATGTTACAATATATAAATATCTGAATGCTTTCTGTGGGTATAGTAATATCAAGTGTGTATTTCTTATTAAATACATAGAATTTCAGAGTTGGAAGAGATCTTAAGTCATCTGGACTATACCTTTCATTCCTTGCAATTTTTTTTGTAACTTTATATCCAATGTTTAGTCTGCCTGTCCTTTTTTCTAAAAATATATGTTTATATAATTCACATATTATAGAATTCACCCTTTTAAAGAGTTTGATTCTCAGCTGGGTACATGCCTGTAGTCACATAGTCCCACCTACCTGGGAGGTTGAGGCAGGAAGATCACTTGAGCCCAGGAGTTTGAGGCCAGCCTAGGCAACATAGCAAGACCTTGTCTCTTAAATAAATTAATTTTTAAAAACAGCACAATTCTGTGGGTTTTAGTATATTGGCAAGATTGTACAACCATCACCCCTCTCTAATTCCAGAACATTTTCATTATCTCTAAAACAATCCTTGTGTCTGCTAGTAGATACTCCCCAGTTTCCCCCTTCCCCTGCAACCACTAATGTACCTGTTCTTTTTTTTCTTGAGGCAGAGTCTTGCCCTGGGTAGAATGCAGTGGCATCATCATAGCTCACTGCAACCTCAAACTCCTGGGCTCAAGCAATTCTTTTGCCTCAGCCTCCCAAGTAGCTGGGACTATAGGCATGTGCCACCATGCCCGGCTAATTTTTTCTATATATATTTAGTTGTCCAATTAATTTCTTTCTATTTATAGTAGAGACGGGGTCTCGCTCTTGCTCAGGCTGGTTTTGAACTCCTGACCTCGAGCAATCCGCCCGCCTCGGCCTCCCAGAGAGCTAGGATTACAGGCGTGAGCCACCGCGCCCGGCCTTTTTTTTTTTTTTTTTTTTTGCAGACATAGCATCTCAATCTTAGTCTTTTCCCATATTTTCTTCAATATTTAAAGAGCTTTCAGGTCTCCAGACTTTTTGTTCAGCCTCTTGCTGAAAAGAATTCAAAGTGGTGAGGTTTTCCTTTTCCAGGTCTTTAACTCTTCTTTGGTAATATTAAGTCATTGTGGTTGCTCTCTTTTGTCTATATTATCCTTAAAACTTGATGTTACTATAAGAGTATGGACAGCTATATATCAAACTGTTAAATTAAGAGGGCTTGGATTAAAGAAGGGGAGGAAAAGATGTATTATGTTTTGTCTATATATCTATATTACTGGATTCAATTTATAGGTATCACCACTTTTATATTAAGCAAATAAAATATTAAATTATATTAAAACAGAACAATTTAAGGCAATATCCTAGATGTATTGACCATATTAGCATGGAGTTCAACTTTCATGCCTCTCACTTTAGGGACTAGCACTTATGGTACGTTGACTTTTTTTTTATAAACAATACAAGGCTTTGTGCTAGGCTTATGTGGACACTAAGAAAGGTGTTCTTTCTAATATTTCAAAGTAACCCATGTAGGGGGTATACTTTCTTTGTTTTCTAGTGAGTTATTCTCCCCATCTCAGAAGTACCAGCTTTTGGTGTATCACGCAGATTCTCTCTTTCATGATAAGGAATATCGGAATGCTGTGAGTAAGTATACCATGGCTTTACAGCAGAAGAAAGCTCTAAGTAAAACTTCAAAAGTGAGACCTTCAACTGGAAATTCTGCATCTACTCCACAAAGTCAGGTAATTGGAGATAGAATTGTGATTTTTTTTTCTTTGTTTTTAGAGAGACTGAAAGAATTTATTTATTTTTTATTTTTTTATAATTTTTTAATTTTTTTATTATTTCATTTTTTAAAAATATTTCCTACAATTGGCCAGGCGCAGTGGCTCACGCCTGTAATCCTAGCACTCTGAGAGGCTGAGGCAGAGGATTGCTCGAGGTAAGGAGTTCGAAACCAGCCTGAGCAAGAGTGAGACCCCGTCTCTACTATAAATAGAAAGAAATTAATTGGCCAATTAATATATAGAGAAAAAATTAGCTGGGCATGGGCACATGCCTGTAGTCCCAGCTACTCGGCAGGCTGAGGCAGAAGGATTGCTTGAGCCTAGGAGTTTGAGGTTGCTGTGAGCTAGGCTGACACCACGGCACTCACTCTAGCCTGAGCAACAAAATGAGACTCTGTCTCAAAATAAATAAATAAATAAAATAAAATATTTCCTACAATTGAGCATTTGTAGGAAAGAATTTAGAAGATGGCTGCTTAGATGTAGAAGATGGTAAAATCAAAAGTAATTTTTAAAGGGGAGCTGATTAGAGAAACAAAGATGAAAAACCACTTAGATATAAGAACGTATTCAACCAAGCAGTAAAGGCTAAGAGCAAAATTCACTCCATAGATAAATCTAAAAATGGAATTAAACATGCATTATCTAGGTTCTAACAAAGTCATGCGTTGTTCCTGATTTTTACACAAACAGAACTCAAAATGTAGAGTGTTTATAATTTTAATGACAATACAACTTTTAAGGCCTGTGTGGTGGCTCATGCCTGTAATCCCAGTGACTTGGAAGGCTGAGGCAAGAGGATCACTTGAGCCCAGGCGTTTGAGGTCAGCCTGAGCAACAGCAAGACCCCATCTCTAAAAAAAATTTTGTTAAATTAGCTGGGTATGGTGGTGCATGCCTGTAGTCCCAGCTATTTGGGAGGCCAAGGCAGGAGAACTGCTTGAGCCCAGGAGTTTGAGGCTGTAGTGTGCTATAATCATGCCACTGCACTCCAGCCTGGACGACAGAGTCATCCCATTGCTAGAAATTAATTATAGTAGTAGACTCACAAAAGGTTTTCAGGGTATGTAACTGTGGTTGCTTATTGCAATATTGTTTATAATAGTAACTGGGAGAAGTGTGTGTTTGTAGAATCTGGTTAAGTTATAGCCAGAAGATGGAATAAGGTGGAATTAAAGAATTGAAAAAGGAGATAGAGGTGTATGTGCTGATTTGAAAAGAACTCCTATATATATTAGTAAAGAAAACAAGGTCTGAATCAGTGTATTCAGTATCCGTTTTGTTCAAAGGGAATAGTTTAAAGATTTTATACATCTTGGTATATGTCTACTAAATATATATGGATAATAAGCTTAAAAGATTTTGTGTGTGGGAAGGAAATAAATGTAATGATGGAAAGCTGTAGGGGGAGCGGAACTTTTACTTTCAATTTGAACCTTTCTTTAAATTGCCTAGCTGAACACATGCTACTTACATTTTAAAGGAATGTCGAATAAAAGAATTAAAAGGAATGTCAGAATGTACTAGAAGTGAAATTATAGGTTCTGTATTTTTCCATAGCTAAAAGAAGACACAAATTGATATAGTTGATTTTTTAAAAGCCTGCTTCTCTTCATCTTATTTCTGTGTAAAACTCTTGCTTTGTGTTATTAATGAGGTAATTGCCAGGGTTTTCTCTTGTTTTCTAACACTGAGTGGAAGTCATGTATATTGTCCAGAATGGTTAAATCATAAAAATAGCTAACATTTATTGAGTATTCAATATGTTAAGCAACATGCCAAACCTTTCATATGAATTAATACATTTAATATTCATGAAAGTTTTTTAAAAATTTAGATATATAGTGGGCCCTCCATATCCTCAAGTTTCATATCTGTGCATTCAATCAACTGTGGATTGAAAATATGTGGAAAAAGGCTGGATGTGGTGGCTCACACCTGTAATCAATCCTAGGGCTTTGGAAGGCTGAAGTGGTAGGATTGCTTAAGGCTAGGAGTTTGAGACCAGCCTGGACAACATAGCAAGACCTCATCTCTTCAAAAACAAAAAAAGAAAAATTAGCCAGGCATGGTGGTGCACATCTGTAGTTCTAGGTATTATACTAGGGTGGCTGAGGCAGGTGGATCACTTGAGCCTGGGAGTTCAAGGCTACAGTGAAATAAATGATCATGGCACTGTACTTTAGCCTGAGGGACAGAGCGAGGCCCTGTCTGAAAATAATAATAAAAATAATAATGCTTTGAACATGCTGTGTAGGTTTTTGTGTGAACAGATGTTTTCAGTTTTTGTGGCTGTATACCTAGGAGTAGAACTGCTGGGTCATATGATAACTCTTTTTAACATTTTAAAGACCTACCATTCTATCGAAATCATATTTTGAAGAGATGTTGTCATTATCTCTTAGTGTCTTCCATCTGAAATCGAAGTGAAATACAAAATGGCTGAATGCTATACCATGCTAAAACAAGATAAAGATGCCATTGCTATACTTGATGGGATCCCTTCCAGACAGAGAACTCCTAAAGTAAGTTGAATGAAGAGTTTATGTGTTTTTCTCCTCCCCATCTCTCCCAACGCTGCTCCCTCCATGTTTTTTCATAAACGTGCATCAGGGAGCCCATCTGAGCATTTTACTCATGATAGTCATGCTCACTTGCTTTTCCTGTTAATGGAGCAGGGGTTTGGAAAGATAAACGAGTCACTTATGAGATCCTGAAAATTCAGCTGATGAAAATGAAAGCTGAAGAATACTACAAGTGCTTATTCTTTGGTGTTTCTTACTGTAGGAAATATTTATTTACAAAACAGTTCTAAGTGGCAAAACACTTTTGTAGAACTTATTTTTTGCTTTACATAGGTGTACCCATTTGCTAATGGGAATAGTTTTATTAATGCCATCATTTTCAAAATTAAGTCTACAAGATCCCTTTGTGCTTATTTATGTGTGAATTATGTACTTGTGTTTGATTTGACAGCATATTGTAGCCAAGAGAACACCTTTAACTGAAATCAAAAGATCTGATGTCTTGTTTCAGTTTGGGCATACAAGTTGTGTGCAGTGTGAAATTGGGCAAGTTACCAATCTCTGAGCTTTTACTTCTTTTATTTGTAAAAAGAGAGAATAGTATTTTCTCCCATCCAAATACTACTAACCAGGCCTGACCCTGCTTAGCTTCTGAGATCAGACAAGATTGGGCACATTCAGAGTGGTATGGTTATCAATGATGTTCTTTGTTAACTTTTGTAAAATCTAAAAAGTATGTAAAAATACTTTTTAAAGTATTTTAAAGTATTACACTAGGCATCTGATCAAGGTTTTTTTGAAGCCCAGTTTAGAACAGTGAGAATCTTTGCTCTTAAGGCTGAATTCATGTCGGTATTTAATATTTTAACATATTCTGTCATGTCACCTGCCCTCCTCACTTCATTGAAAAACTAATTTTATAGGTAAGATGTGTAAATCCTCCTTCCTGTAAAAGAAGTAATCTAAGCAGCAGAGACTGCTTAGATTGTATTTTAATTTGTGCTGTTTTATCCAAATGGTGCTGAATTTTAAAAGTAACCACATTTGATGAGAACATGTTTCAGCAGCTCATATTGAGGAGTTATTTACTGTTTTCTGAGTTTTTAAAACTAAGGTATTTCTACGTTGTATTTTGTGATGGTGGCTGCTGTTAAAAAATACTTAGAAGTCTTGAGGTGAATCCTTGGAGCTAAAAAACAAAACCCCACTTGGGAAGTATGTTATGAACTAACCCGTCTCATAATAATTGTGGATGCTGTATACTAAATTGTGTTCTGGTACACTATGAAAGTCCTCTTTTACCCCAAGAATAATTTTTTTGCATGTGTGAAGAATGTTTGTTGCTCAAGGTGTCTTCCTTTTGAAAGAAGGCATTTTGACAATAAACTTTGAAAGTTACTATTCCTTATCTCATTAGAAATGTACCATAATTTTCTTTGTAATGACTTGTGGGTGTTTGGGAGGCATTTTTGGAAGATGGGTAATGGCAAAGAAGCTCAGCTTTGTAGTATATCCACTGCTTGGTATTTATGGCCGTCGTTTTAAGAGGGACTAGAGAAGTCTGCATTTGTTAGGAAAACATATCCTTCATTCTGTAGAGCTCTTATAGCTAGGAGCAAGCAAAGATGTGTGCCTCAAACATAAACGTATAATATTTACAGTTTTTCTTTCTTGTCCGTTAGGGAGTTAACTGGCTTCTCAGTCTGTGTAAAGGACAAGGAAGTGAGTCAAAATACGTCTAAATGAACGTCTGTTAATGTATGGTAAACACCGCCACACATTCCCTCACATTTTAAAGGAAAATTCCAGTGTTAGATTATAAAATCTTGGTAAATCTTTACGTTTTATGAGCAAACTTATCAACATACAGTTTTTCACTCAGTTTTTAGAAAATGATGACTGCTTATGTTTATAACTGGTGGAACGTGGCTTTATGATGTTCTGTTTTTAAAAAATAAGGCTCTGTTTTTAAAAAAATTGACTCTTTCACTAGGCAGTACTCAAAATTCATTCTTTCAAAGTGACAGTCAAGTAACTTAAAGGAAATTTGTTGAGGCAGATGGTCCATCAGTCAGTCTGTTAGTAACTAGCAGTCAAGAAAGAATCTTAAGTTTAACTTTTTATTCTCTTAAGGATTGACACCGATACTGGAGTTTTCCTTTAAGTACCTTCCTTTGCATTTTCAAAATAGCCTAATATGGGAAATCCGAGGCCAAATAAAAAATAGTTTTATTTCTAGTATTTCATTATTTCGTTGTTTGTATTAGTGTGGATTGATGCTATACTAGATTGTTTTATATACTGTAGGTCTATAATTGGAACAGATGTTCTTCATGTTCAGAACTACTCTTTTGACTTAGTATCTGGCATACCAAGCCATAGATAATTAAAGAGATTGGGGGTTGACTTTTTTTCTTTTGTGCCCTCACATTGACTGCTTCCTTAGGTTAATGAGTTAACCTAGGTTAATGAGAAAACCCTACTCACAGCACTGTGAGTAGGGTTTTCAGTAAAAAGTGGTATAGTAGCTGGTAATGAACATCAGGGCTTTTTCATGATGAGATATTTTCTTTGCATTGTATGCTTGCTTATTGTTACTATCCACCGTTTGTGCTCTGTAAGATTAACATGATGCTGGCAAACTTGTACAGCAAAAACTGTTTGTATTTAAGATCTAATAATTTTAAATTGGAATATTTATTTCTCATTTGTACTATCAAGAAGGTATTTATCCTTTCTATAATTTCTACATTCTTTGGAACTTTTAGTTTCTCAAATTTTCCCAGTTGCATTTTTAGGTAGGATTATTTTTAAATTGCTTCTCTAAGTTACATATTTAAATGTGCTAAAGTGCAGATGTCTGCACTCAGTGATTTAAATAGTGGTATCTGATTCTGGCATCATATCATCTCTGGAGATCAGTTTGAGTTTGATTTTGTAACTTACTTTGGCGAGTTAGTACCGTATGAGTCTAAGCTTTAAGTGTCAGAAAGGCTAGAGTCTAGCACAAGTCTAATTATCAGAGAAAAGCCAAGTGTATGTACTTCTGTGTCTGTCCTGCTGTCTAATTTCCTTTTGGGAAAAACTCCATCTTATCCTTCTTAACTAGCTATGTCAAGAGTTCCTCATGTCTCATACCTTAATATTAACCAAATTTTAAGATGCATCAACCTGAGCACTTCGAGGTAGCTCACCTTCTACCTTTTCCAAGATCAAGAAAGAATCAAAGGTAACTAGCATTCTGTGACATTTCTTAAGTGAATGTTATTCCTGTTTCCAGAGTCAGCATCTTTGGTCCAGGTATTACTGGCCCTTTTGGGTTAGGTAACGTGAGAAAGTAATGTGACCTCACCTCTTAGGGATGGGAGTACCTAGGAAGGCTAATGGTAATAATTTCTTATTTTCTTTGAAGAATGGGTTGTTCTGCTTCCTTTACTGGTGCACAGTGGCTGTGAGTAG